AGTATTTCTTCATGTACTGTAAATATAATTAAATGAAAATAAAATGATCTGCATCTCGCTCATATTAAACAAACAAACACTAGTAATCCCATGCCCTGTCACTGAATTATAGATTCCTCTCCCTGTAAATGTTTAATTCTCTGTGAAAAAGTGCCGATTATTCTTTATCATTGTGACTGAAACAGAGATTGAACAAAATCTTCTTGTGGAACAGAAAACTCAACGTTTCCCTGGATTCGGTTTTGAAATGAAAAAGCTCCCTATTAAAATACGACGGGAACAGTATATTCTACCTTTTCCACGTAATAGACCTTATATCCAAACTCCACGGTAATAAAGGAGACAAGAATGCAAAGGACCATCTCCACCAGCATGGTACTTGCTTTAACAATGGTGACAAGATGCTCTTTATTCTTCCAGGTCAGGCTCCTCAGCACATTTTTCATGATGCGCACAAAGAGCTTCTTCTTCTGCTTCCATGAAAGGTCCCCCAGGATCTTATGCAGAGGCCTGAAGCTCTTGCTGTTCTTCCAGCCAAGCAGACCCCCCACCACTCCACCTTAGAGACACAGACGCTTGGTTACAGCTTTATGACGCAGGAGGAAAACCTTTTTATGATAGCATGAAAAATGGGAATTCCTCCTGAACAGAGACACGTTTCCTGTCTGCATCTCCAACCTGGTCTGGATAAACGGGGAAACTTTTCCAAATGATTTTCATGGATGAGCTGATGAAGCAGCTTTAAATACCAGACTGGATCTGAGCTGCTGTTGGTTCATTAGAACCAAACAGGACAGACGATGCATCAGCTGTTAACATAAAAGCAGGTTAATGGTATTAATGGAAATTTAAAGCCTTTATTCAATAATAAAACATCATTAACCCTTTGATTGCTCATTCTGTAGCGCCTGCACTGATGCTGCTTCGTTATCTAAGGGCTGAACAGTCCACTCTGCCCACCCACTGCGTGGTTTGGGACGGCCCTTAATGTGGCCGACCCTCTGCAGGAACGGAGGGTCTTTGGTTCAGTTCTATGGGGCCCGTTTGGGACTGGGCCCATCTAATGGCTTTAAATATCGGCCTGATGCCATGTGCTGCTGCTGCCACCGGGTGGCAGCGCTGAGCGTTTGGTCTTTAACCTACCAAAGCAAAGCCTGGATTCAGCTGAAGCAGTTTATCATCTCAGAGAAAATATTATAAGAAAACTGCCCTCAGATTCCTGAGCGACGCTCGGAGTCAAACTCAGAACATCAATGAAAAAATCTAAAAGTAAAAACTTTTTTTTTTTTTTATCCGTGAATTTAACCTTAATTTGAGCCAATAAATAAGATCATCTGCTAATAAAGGATTTCTGCACTTAAGGACATTATATATTATGAACTTGAAATAAGATCATTCAGTTTATATTATATAAATTGGGCAATTGTCACTTTTAATCGTTTATATAGATCAGAAATAAACTTTTCCTTTTGCAGGAAACATGACATACAATAATCTGGATTTAATCTGCACGTCTTCATATCAATAAATCATTATTTTCTCCCTGATCAGGTCATTTTATCCCTCAGCCGATAATCAGATTATAATGAAGAAGCTTAATCAGAGGTCAGAGGTCAGAAAGTCACTTTGCTCTAAAGAAAATCAAGATTAAACTTGTTGTTTGTTTTCAGAAAATGACGAAAAACTGAACAAAACTTTACAAGATTTAAGAATTTTTGGGGTTTTTTTCTCTGTGAAAAATAATCAGACTAAAGAGATAAAGGAAAAAAGGATAAAATTTGACAATCTGAAAATCAGAATCTGCATTTGTTTCATTCTATGATTTTTATTTACTTGTTTTAAAATGAAGAAATAATGGGGTTGGTTATCTGTTTAAATTTTTATTTTTAATACCTTATTGTAAAAATTAAATAATGCACAGCTACACTACTTCCTGATCTTAAATCAGCTCTTTTTTTACCTGTATTTTGTTCCTGGATGAACTGATTAATCCAGGTGTGTCTGACCTCACTAACCATGGCCAGACACACCTGAATTAATCAGTCCATCCAGGAGAAAAAAAAGACAGGAAACAAAAAAGCGGCCATTCAGGAAGTAGTGGAGTGGTGCATAAAGGCCATTAAATCTTTATTTTGGTTTTCTGAGTCCAATTCAAATAACTGGGCTGTTAAATGGTGGTGAAGCCGTGTTATTCCAGAAACCGATGGAGGTCTGAACTCATTCCAAAAAAAAGATCAGTTAATCAAAGTTTGTGTATTTAAGGAAAAAAAATAGATATGGAGTTTGGAAAAAGAAGAGAAAATAAAAGTAAAGTTTTAGGGTCATGATGACTAAAGTAGATCAATGATGTTTACATGTAGTGAAAAAAAAAAAGAGACAGGGGACGATGCTGATCAGTTTCTATCAGAATGTCACTTCTTGCTAAATGATGAGGATTGAACCTTTCCAGAGGGGGNTTCAGGATGACAAACATTTGCTCAAAGCCTAACGAGCTGAAAGGATCCTGTTAACAAGTGAAACTCATCAGAGGCATTTTGTTCTTCCTTCATTAAAGGTGCCTTACTCCTCGCTTTATGTGCCTGAAAATAAAGGAAACAAATGTGCTGGAAATGAGACAGGAGCTGCTGGTTGGATATCATGTCACTCTTTGAGGGTTTTTCCATATAAAGTTTTGAAGAAAAAACGAAATAACTCCAAACATGTGTTGAGTTTTACTGCCATCTAGTGGATGAAGGCTGGAGTGACAGGCTGCCTCCATCTGTGGATTAATAACAGACTCATAGATTTAAGAAATAATGTTTTTATTCAGATTTCAGAGAGAAACTAAAACATGTTTCAGTTTATTTAGAAAAATAAGACTCATTAAATGCTTCCTAATGGCTGAGCAGCTTTCTGGCTCAAAGTCTTTCAGGCTGGAAAGCCTCCGTCCCATCACCCTAATGTTAAACATTCAGAATCAATACAATTTAAAAAATTGTTCCCAGGTTGTCCATCCTCCCTCATGAAGTTCAGTCCCCGTATCTGACCTCGGCTCTGAGCTCCTTGGTTACGTAGCTGATGAGGGCGGCAGTGACCTGCTGCTGCAGCGTGGCGTTCCCCATAACCAGCGCGACGAGCTGCGCGGCGTCCATCCAGTCCAGGCTGCCCAGCAAGTTGTTTATCTGTGCGTAGAGCTGCTGCCTCTGCTGCGGAGGAAGCTCCATCAGGATCTGAGGCAGAGGCCTGAACTGACCGCTGGTCATCCAGCTGCCCAGCAGACCCCCCACCGCTCCACCTCAGAGACACAGACGCTTGGTTACAGCTTTATGAAGGAAGAAAACAACCTGAAGTGGGAATTCCTCCTCTAATGAATAAAGACACATGCAGCCCTAAACAGGGGCCAACAGGGGCCAATGCCCCTGTAGATCATTGCCTGGCCCCTGTTATGGCCCCTGTGCTGAAGACATAATATTCAAAGAAATTCTAATGATGATATGCGCTGGAACAGACACGATTAATGATAGGTCCTTTGGATCTATTTCATTTTTTTCTTTACAAATTCTGTTTTACTAATTATTTGAAAACAATAAAGGTTCAGTAAGATAAGATCCCAGTTTTCATCTGCTAAAGGTTTTTTCAAAAGAAATTTTTAGTTGAATTTATCAGTTTTCATTGTCTAATTGAGATTTTATAACAACAAATTGGTAATTTTTGACTTAAATTAAGTCAAAATTATGTAAAATCCCTAAACTATGAATGTATATTGGCCTAATAAGGCATAGAATTGTTATTAAACCTAATTGAATAGATATTTCACTTCATGCAGCTCTCTTAACCCTTTAAAGCCCGATCCAAGAATAAAACAAAAC